TCTTTGTGTATACATATTATAAAATGACATTTTAGCTTGATGCAATGTACCATAAAAGCCCCGTGTCTTGCTACCCACTGGTTTCTATACTGTAAGGAGTGTCAGTTGCTCCTGAGAGTGACCCGTTCTCTCACCAATGTCTGTAGAAGCGTCTGCATGCCGAGGTGCCTCATCCTATACACCGGGGGCCATGGAGGGGATTGGAACCTGAATCCAATGATTTGGAGGGGGAGGGGCCCAATACTTTTGGCAATATAGTGTACATCTAGGTATGGGGCCCACCACATGTATGAAAGCATTGGAGAAGGTTGGAAGGGCTCAGAGATGATAGGTGTAGTGTCTGTGGCGACTTGGCGACTTGCCTCCTGAGATCTCTCCCTGTAGTAAGTTGAACGATTACGATTTGCACTTTTACTCATCTTGCTGTTTCTTTTCTCCGGCAGATAATCAGTTTAGGATGTCGATTTTGGAGCGTTTAGAGCAGATGGAGCGCCGGATGGCAGATATGAGCTCGGGGCAGCTCCAGCACCCGCCAGCTCCGTCCAGCGGCCATCGAAGCGGAGACAGTCAGGTGAGCGCGGGCAATCCCGATCTTCCGTATGTCTGTAGGCGGGGCCTCGGGGTGTGTACATCCCAACTGTCCCTTAGAAAGTCGAATCTTTACGCTCCGGCATATGTAGGATTTGTTGTATTGTTGTTGGACTTGGTGTTTAGGTTATGTGCTGCGCCGGGCAGTGTCACTCGTACGGTATGGTAAAGTCCATCAACCCATCGCACCCCTGACCGCTTCCTCCATATGAATCGGGTGGGTGCAGCTGTGGTCACAATGGCAACCGGCATGTACACAAATAGAGTTCGGGACCCCGGAACTCCAGGTGCAGCGCAAATGCGTCTATTTATTGACATCTATGCAGTATATCACACTGGTGCAGCATTTCGGGGTCTTGCAGTGTATCTGGTGCAGCATTTCGGGGTCTTGCAGTGTATCTGGTGCAGCATTTCGGGGTCTCGCAGTGTATCTGGTGCAGCATTTCGGGGTCTTGCAGTGTATCTGGTGCAGCATTTCGGGGTCTTGCAGTGTATCTGGTGCAGCATTTCGGGGTCTTGCAGTGTATCTGGTGCAGCATTTCGGGGTCTTGCAGTGTATCTGGTGCAGCATTTCGGGGTCTTGCAGTGTATCTGGTGCAGCATTTCGGGGTCTTGCAGTGTATCTGGTGCAGCATTTCGGGGTCTTGCAGTGTATCTGGTGCAGCATTTCGGGGTCTTGCAGTGTATCTGGTGCAGCATTTCGGGGTCT